TTTTTTGGTTATACATGTTAGGAATATGAACCAGTATATTTGACAGTTGTGGTTTTTTTTAAAAAAAACATTTTTTGGGGGGAGTTCGGTCATTTTTACTGTGTTGATTCTTCCTACTGAAGAAGCAACGGATATCTTTCCATTTTCTGATATCTTCTTCAATCTCCTCTTTTAGAGTATAGTTGTTTTCATTGTAGAGGTCTTTCATTTCTTTCTTTTCTTTTTTTTGGTGGAACCGGGGATTGAACTCAGACCCTTGCGCTTGCCAGGGAAACATGTATTTCACTGAGCCATCTCCCCGGCCCCTCATTTCATTTCTTGATGCTATTATGAAAGGCTCAGTTTCCCTAATTTGTTTCTCAGTGAATTTACTTGTGTACAGGAATGTTAGTAATTTTTGAGTGTTTATTTCTGTATCCAGCTACTCTACTGAATCTGAAATATATAAAGAACTTAAAGAATAATCAGACCCACCCCAAATTTAAAGATCCACTCTGAAAACAGGCATCTGAAATGAACAGACATTTCTCAGATAAAGTACAAACAGCAAATAAACAGATGAAAAATGCTCAACATCACCGCTAATTCAAGAAATGCAAATTAAAAGAAATGCAAATTCCATCTCACTCCAGAAAGGATGGGTATTATCAAGAAATCAACCAATAACAAATGCTGGTAAAGCTACACAGAAAAAGAAGCCCTTCTGTACTGATGGTAGAACTGTGGACTGGTGCAACCACTATGGAAATTAGTATGGAGATTCCTCAAATCACCAAAATTAGAGGTTCCATTTGACCCAGATGTTCCAGTTGTTCCCCTTCTATGTGTTTTCTCAAGTTACAAGTGTCATACCACAGTTACATATGCATACCTGTGTTTATAGCAGCACAATGTGCAACAGCTAAATCTTGGAAATAGATCATTGCCCATTAATGGAGGATAGATTAAAAAAAATGTGGTATTCATTTAAAATAGAGTACTACTCTGCCAAAAAGGATAAACTGGATTTGTTTTTAGGTAAATGGTTATACCTCTTGATCATAATTTTAAATGAAATAAACTGGACACTTAAGTTTAAATATCAGTGTTTCTGTTGTGTAAGAAATCCAAAGTGTAAAGAAGGGAGATAGTGGAGGATAGATATTGAGAAGTAGGAAGAACACATTCAGATGGAAAAGGAAATAATAGAGTGGGGAGGGAGGAAGGGAAGGAAAAGAAAAGGAAAAAAGAGAATGCAAGGGAAAAAAATGGAAAGAGAGTTTTTATAAATGGGGACGAGAAGAGGGTTGAAGGGAGGAGAAGGGAATGAAAAAGAGAAAGAAGAATCTATGTATTATGGACAAGTACAAATTCCCAGTGATGAATGTGATCAGTATGTATGATAAACATGCTAATAAAAAACATAAAGTTAAAAAATTTTGATTTTATCTCACTGTCACTTTCTTTTCCTCATCTCTTTGAGCCTTTTCCTATCTCCAAAACTCTACTCCTTAGTTTGTATTATCTATCTATCTATCTATCTATCTATCTATCTATCTATCTATCTATCTTTTTGCTCCGAATGCCTTCAGGGCAGGTTTGGCTGGCTGGAGTGTTGTGGGGATCGAACTATAGCACCCTGAGGCTGACAGCTTTGTGGAAGCAGCCACTTAAAGAACTGAGCTAGGTAGGGCCAGGCCCCCTGGAATTTTTATTCTTGGACAGTAACTTTGCAGATGAGTGAAGCTGGTAATAAAATTGGGTAATGTGCTTAAAATTTTATTACAAGCATACTTATGGGATTTTCTGTATACAGAGTATACTTAAATATATGTTAAAATTTTAATTTAGCTACAGTGGGTGATTTGTAAATGAAATGGAGTTATGTACTGTACTGTAACTCCATTCTGTTTTGTTTTGATTTTTTTGAGAGAAGGTCTTGCTACTTGTTCAGGTCAGCCTTGAACTCACTAGTAGCCCAGGCTGGCCTCACACTCATGGCCATTTTTCTGCTTCAGCCTCTCAAGTGCTGGGATTACATGTGTGCACCACCACACCTGGATTTATATTGTAATTTTAACACATCAAGTCATGTCATGAAATTTATCCTACAGATTGCAATAGAATTTGAAGCAATATTTATACAAAGAGAATGATATGCCTAAGTGAATGAAATGATTCTCATAATCTAGAGGAAGAAAAATTTTTTGGGAAAAAAGCCATTTTGGTGAGTAGTTTGAAATTGGTCTTTGTGAAGATATGTGAGCCCACTAGCTAGCTTTTATAATAATAACTGTGTGGAAAAATATGTTCTCAATTTAGTGTTTTATTTATTTTAAAGCTTATTATCTTATTCTCACTGAAGATTAGAATAATTAAAACTTTGAAATACCATTATTTTCTAATTTGAATTTTAAAGCACTTTGAGCCTAGAGAATGAATTAGAGATAATTACTGTTAATTTTATAATTGAAGGCAGCCACTATGCCAATATACATAAATCTATTAATGTACTAGTCATCAAATGGACAGACATCAATTACAAATCTTTGTTTTCTCAGAGCAGTTAACTGCCAACATAATCTTAAAAACAGTGGACCTGGGCTGGAGAGATGGCTCAGTGGTCTAAAGCACCTACTTAGAACAAGCTTGGCAAA